CTACAGATTGGTCATTTGTCAGCACGTTTTCGGCGGCAATGTCTTTGCAAGAATCCATGAAATTCTAAATATTATCTATAGTGTGCCTGGCACTCTATAGAACATGTCCACAGAGGATCACTCGAAGACCTATGGTCAACCTGAGCGGGTTAATCACGCCATCAGAGATGATCTTTCAGATTTTTGTGACAATTCTTCGAAAACGAGTAGCTTAATGCTCGTTGCTATGGAGTTTACATCAAAGAACGCCGTTCATTCAGCTACCAGTACTTGCTTATTCTACGTAAATAAAATTTGCTGTACCCTCTTGTTCCGCTAGCAATTCTACTGCATGCTTCTTTTCTTAGATGGGAAAATTTTGCCAACAAGCTTGCTGATGTAAGTCTAACCAGTACCAAAATGGTAAGCGCGTTTTCCGTATTTCGATTTAGTATCTTGTGACACGTGTGTGTAAGAATAGATGATAGTAAAGACAAACAAAAGGAACAAGTAGATGCTAAGGGCAGAGGATGTATTGCTGTAAATCAGGTTCTACACAAGCTCGAAACCTACAAACAGGTAAAAGATCCGTAGTCTTTGATACAAATTTGGGTACGGGCTTCATTTAACCTTTCACATTCTCTACCAAAGAGTACCTCGCCTTTACACTACCCCCCCCCCTCCGCGCAAGCTGCGCACAAACCCAGTGTTCTATGCTGAAATAGTCTAGCCTTGTCAAGATTCTCTATCGTGGACAGGAAGCATCTTGGTCTGAAAACTAGAGCTCCTGGATAGTTGAATCTCCGTCCATGGTTCTACCCTATATACAAACATACAGGTTGCACTTCACCTTTCAAGTCGTTTATCGGCCGAGAAGATCAAGAAAAACGGTTTATTTGCTTAAAGAAAAAGGGCCAACGTAGTCGATAACGTGACGTGAGCGCTTTGGAATAGTGAGCGCTTTGCACTGGATTTACCAAAGTAGGTTCCCTCATCCTCAGGATGAACCAGGGCACTCTGCATGCGAGCGAGGAACTCATGGAGGCAAGTTGCTCCTGACACGAGCTCTTCATAGGCATGTACCGATGTAACGATCACATCAAGGATAATCTCGTGAAGCGGGTCGTCTCAAAAATTAACACCAGTATCTGGTAAAGTGGCGTGGCTACCCTGCATCTGAAAACTCATAGGAGTTTGAGGTGCCACTTCGGCAAGTCTGCGCATACGCCGTTGACGTATCAAGCGTCGTGCTGATGGTCAGCTTAATGCTCAAATTCTTTTCCCCTAGTAGGTGCATATGTGTCGGAATTCCTAAATAGAGTTGATTACCTGCGCATTGCACGTATCGAGTTTTGTAGATCGATCGAAGTTTGCTTCAGGCTTTGAGTTTCGCGAATTCATGTCTCAGTTCTCTTTCAAATGAGCTTCCGCCTTTGAGTATTAATCTCATGGTAGGTAAGCGACGTGCTATATGAGCGAACAAATAAACATGGTGTCGGTCTTTGCTTGACTCTCATCGAGGTGTAAAACAATCGGAACTGTCGTCTGTACAGGCACAGATACACCTCGTGCTTGGCCCAGCAACTAGGTCTAGTATTCTTGAGATGGCTTCATTTCTGGTGTTTGGCACCTCTTTCGGGGACCATCCCGTTTAAAAATGTCGACCACCGTAATGTTCTAGGATCATGTGGCCTGAATGGATAATAGTTGTCCTGTAAATTGCTGGGTGTGTTCTGCAACAAGTATCAGCTTATAAATATATTTTACTGCAACTGATTAGCGTCACAACACCGTCGCTGGTATTTATAAAGAATGATGGTGATCATACCTGCCTCAAGTGCACAACCTGATTAAAGCGCTGCTACCTAATGGACTGTGCCTTTATAAGGGGAAAAATTAGGCACTAAGCACGAGAACTCGCTAGACACCGATGTATCAGTATCGGGCCCATCACCCTCAGACACGACCGTGTCAGGGTGTCGTAGTCGACTTTGCTGTCTTCTCTTGATAAGTTTTATTAAGATTCAGATGAATATGACATCATTGTCCGAGTGTAGGTTTTGGGAACACAACACACCACGCTATTTTGACGAAAAGGTAAAAATGTCGATTATGGGTAGTTTGGTGAGGGGGGGTGTAATGGGGTCACATGACGACTGGTATATCAATTTTTGTGTCGTGCGGCACATAACGAAGATCAGTGATTTTGATTGTCGTATTCTTGTGTTTCGTACGATATTGATACACTGCACCTCATCGAATTACAGTTGGATACTACCTATCGTAATGTGCATTACAAGTAAGTCATAGTTTCTGATACGGTATTATTCAAAAAACATGTATTAAGATTACTGGAATGGTTAGCAGAGTCTATAAGTTAAACACGTCGGTAGGTTTTCCTGTCGCCATAAAATAGCAAACACACGCATTTCACCTCTTACTTAATAGCTGACATGTGCCTTCTTGAGACTTAGCTGATCGTAAGGAGGTGTAAGCTTCCATCAGGACAAGCACTCTTGCGCATTAGTGCCACTTTGTCCTATCAGGACGTTTTTACGTTGAACCAAGACTAAAAGCTCTACGAGCTCGTTTGGACACTCAAGATCTGAGTCTCATTAAGTCTGCAACAATTTGAGACTCTCTGAATCTACACATGTCCGATTTAGTTTGCGAAGAGAGTCTACGAGTCAAGAAGTCTTCCCCTGACTGAGGAGTCGAGGTAGTTTCGATAAAGATCGCACTACGATGATACGGTGGTGATTCTAAAATCACCTGAACGAAGGATTGAGAATCACTTGGGACTGTAAAAGCGCCGGACGATGTCTGTTCCTCGAGGCTGTCGATCCTTGCGTTTTTCTTCTGCAGTAGCAACGTATGGTGACACAATCGTTGGTAATGGGATCGCAAGTTTACAACTCTTTCCCGCTACTCTATATACGTGAAATAGGCTCAAAAAGTCCAGTTTTACGTTGTTACTCTAACGAGAAATTTCTTAGCAGTTAACATCATTTTCTGTTGTAATCCAAGTTCTGCTGCATAGGTTAAAGATTAAATCGAGCTCATATTGTTTTGTTGACTGATTGGAACTACCTTCTTGAGATCTGTTCAGGATTCTTCAGTGATTTCTCTTGTTTATTAAAGCTAAATATTTCAGGCTCCTCTTTCCATGAGGCTTACGACACGCATTTAAGAAGGTTACCGATAGCCTTTCCAACACCTTGATACATTTTGTCTTAAATGAAGACAAAACTCACACTCAGGACATCACATTCCAAACTAGACAGTTAATCTCTCACTGCCAAATTGCTATCCACGAATAGTAAACCTCTAATATAAATAGTGTACCAAGATGCGCAACAATTACCTCACGCTTACACGAAAATTCGTGTTCAGGCGGTAAGTGGGATAGCAGAGCACGACAAAAGTCCTTTTTATGTACAATTGTGTACGGGGGGTTACAAGAGAGTAATTGCTAACATCCCAGGAGAAAATTTAAACTGTCCTGCGCAGAAAGCGTTTTAGATCGACAAATCATGTAAGACGTCTCACAGCAAATAAACGGGTTTATCTAGCATTCCAGTTTTTGAAACTTACTTTGTATTCCTTTCTCGCATCAAGGGTCTTTTCATACTGCAGAATGTCTCTGTTAAGCGCAGTAGATTTCGAACCGGCGCGCTGTAAGAAGGGAAATGGATAGTGAGCATCATTTCCTTCATCAAGCACATATTCCTATGATCGAGAATGTTCTTTCATAAATAACGTTTCGATCATTTTTTCGTCATTTGGATGAGCCCATAGATTTCCAACAGGAATCAAAGGTTCTGTGGCCCACAGGACGCTTTTTCGACGGCCTCTTTAAATTCGCCTTTCAAAAGTACTTATTTAGCTGATTTTAAACAGTGTCCGCTCTGAAGAAAGTGATAAATATGTCACAAAATTATCTACTTATATTTGTAAGGCGAGACCGATTTTGCAGCGGGGCTCTACAGCTCTTGGTCAGACAAAGACTTGCGACTCTTAAAGTTTATCAGTGCTACGAAATGTAAGTTCCCATATGTTTAGAGAGGGTCTCCAAACTTGTAGAAGCTCTCTAGTTATTAAAATTAATTGACGAAGACTCTCAGAGAGTCCTCAGGCTCGTAAGGCTTCAATTCCTGGTCCATGGCACTTCTTGAAACGATCTTCGTTGATCTTTCACACAAAGTTTTTAGAGTACGCACCACAACAAGGCTCTTACTCTTTGCGACCAGTTGACGTCCAAACAAGTTACGTATATACACTGGATCAAAGGGGGAACTGCCAATCATTTCAAAGGGAACTGCCAATTGTATTTTTAAAAGCCTCATACAACTCTTTATTTCTAAGGCAGAATTAATTCAGATTGTAAAACTAAGTGTCCTAAAATATGGATGGATGGTTCACCAATCTGTCATCAATGGAAGAATCAGATTATGAGCCACACCAGTGGTCACGGATCAACTGATCTGAGGGCTTTATATCACATATACTATGTGTATTCATGTCAGGCGGTAACCGTCGTGTGAGCCCAATTCAGACTACGACATGTACATTAGTTGCTTGCACGCTATCGAAGAGACATGCATGCAGCTGCCACGAGTTCTTATTGTCTGCAGTAAGGACTTTGGTGACACTGCATTATCGTACAAAAAAACTAAGAGTGATCTCGCCCAGTCAGTGGCGATGGAGTAGGTTTCGTCGGCTCGCTGTACTGCTATGTAGACTTCATTCTCCATTGAGCGCAACTCCGACGTGCCTGTGTGTCCTTTTGCATCAGCGTTCCAACAATTTCATGTTTACTGCTACCAGAAGAGAAAACGACGGATATAGCACGAACTAACGACGACCATGAATGCTCGACACTCTTAATTACAGGTAAAAGATCACTGATCTTGAAGAGTGCGTCCACCCCTTGAACTCTGTGCATCATTGTGTTGCTGTCTTAATTCAGCTTGACGCTTCTGCTTTGCTCCACTGGAGTCGGAACCCTTGCAAGGTCACTCTTACGCTGGCGTGGCAGCTGCGTCCTGCTGAGCGGGGGCCGGTACACCGTTGTACGCGTCATCGGTGCCGAAATAGGAGTTTGCGGACTCAACCGCCACCTTCACGTCGAATGCAGGCATTTTGGCCATGCGTGGGACGGGGTAGTCTGTTACATTATATGGACACCGAACAGTGTCAATAGGAATGTTTTAGCATGACAATATTCTACCAATATTGTCCAAGATGGATAATATTGAAGGAATACTATCCTCCTCTAAAACGATTCATGCGCTGCTCATCCATTGGTTGATATAAGACATATCAACCATAGATTAACACCAATAGCTGGATAGACGCGCGCAATAAGTGGTGAGCAGGTTGTCGTCATACGAAGACGTAGTCTAATATCTAAAATCGTTAGATAAAGATTAGAGTTATATTGATAGCTTAACCATGTTGAATACAGTTCTCTTTTTACCCCATCAGCTTAGCTTTCTCTGCACGTTATAGTGTACGTGAAGTTTTGTGGCACCCGAACAAAGGGTTCCCAGATACGCCTGGTGGCACTTCGTAATCCGTTTAACTAAACCTTATTGTCCGTCCAACATAAACACATTGGACGTAAAAGATGACAGCTTTCACGTCACACGTGAAGGCTACTACCATCTGAGTGATTCAGAGTGGAAGGTATTCGGCCGCATGAGTGTGCTGCTGTCAACAAGTTCCTACACGGTAAACTTGACGTCGAAAGATAGAAGATAGCCTTGCTACAGCAGCAAGGCTCTCATCAGTCGATAGGCGGGCCGACGCACATGCGTCGACCCGAAACCATAAAGATAGACATCTCAAGGTACAAGGGAACCGTGTAGATTTTCTTTTTGAGATGGTTCGTCGAGTTAGACGTAGCCATCAGGGCCCGTCACATCGACGGTGACGAGATGCAAGTCACTTTCGCCCTGTCAAATTTTACGGGACGAGCAAAGACTTAGGCCTTAGGGCTCAAGCTTCACGACCCAAACGTTTTTGAGTCGTTGGAGATCTAGAAGGTTCGGCTTAAAAAGACGTTTGAGCCGTCGAGAGCCGATTTCAGAGCAACCTCTGCTCTCTTGAGGCTCAAGCAAGGTAAGCGTGACGTGCACGCTTACGCACAGCACCTGCGCTCTCTTGCGATTAGCGTTACGGAAGCATTAAGGAAAAAACTGTTGATGAGCACACGCTCATCAACGTGTTCATCTACAGCCTTGTGGGTGGGCTGGTGAAGACCTACATGTTCCGAGATGACTATCATGCGCTGGAAAGAACGATAGCGTATGTGGAACAAGAAGAATTCAGTCTGAGACAGTCTCAGGCTAACTCGTCAAACTATCGTCCGACGAGACGACAGGAAACAAAGGGTCCCGAACCAATGGACCTCTGTTACATCTAGAGCGAGAACCCTCGCTCTCTGAGTCACAATAGAGCGAACGGCAAGATGCCATCGCTGTCAGAAGATTGGAAACTACGCTCATGAATGTAGTTTCCCGAGCACTTCAACACGCCCAAAGCCAGGACGTGATGAACACCGCTAATTAAGGAAAGGTCCGAGGCGTGGGTCCGACCATGTCGCTAAGCCGCGACAGCAAGTCGGACCGTCAATAAACGGACAGGGTCAGTAGGGGCGGAGCACCCTGCTGATCCAGCAACGTCAAGATAATTTGCAGGACTCTTGACGAAGGTTGCTCCCAACACACAGTCTCTGTGTGTTACTGCCCTAGTGATGAGGAATCCCTCATCGCTTTGAAGATCAGAGTGACAAGTGAAATGTCACTTCGCGCCCTAGTTGACTGTGGAGCGTCGAACAGTTTTAGTCGACGCCAGTCGCTTGGGGATAGTAGGCTAAACTTTGTGGATCGAGAGTGCCCTCTAACGAGAATGACGGTGTGCATTGCTACAGGCGCATCCGTAACAGTGAATAAACGTGCAGTGGGAATCCACTACACGCTAGAAGAAAAGCAGTACGATGATGACTCCACCGTGCTAGATTTGAATGAAAAATTTGATGTCATCCTCGGTAGGTCATGGCTTAGAAAGTACTAGCCATTCGTTAGCTAGCGGCATTAATCCGTGAAGATGCCTGCCATTTGTACATCAGATGGCCATCTAATGACCTCTTGGAGCGTCCACAAGCGTGTGGATGTACTACGAGTGAGTGCGATGGCCTCACTTGTGGTACGGTAGTTAGTACGATTGCACAAGATCATAGTGAGAAGGCCACTACACTGTGGAACCAGCTTCCGGCACCTGTGTAGAGACACAGGCTGCGACGAAGGTTCACCACTTCGAAGAGATCGAGTGGACCGGAACACGGATGCACACCAGGAAGGTTGCATTCGAGAAGAGAGATAAGTGTTGTTCAGGATGAACCACATGTTGAAGCGATATCGAATACCAGAGAGTCGATCGTAGAGCAAGCCCGATCGACTGAAAGAGAGTCGATCGAAGATAAAGTTACTGTGGTAGTACACCCAGATTCCGATCACGTATTGGAAGAAAGTTCCAGCGATCATGTGAGTGATAACTCCCGAGAGAGTTATGCTGAGGGTGTGGATCCCCAATCACCTGCGGATGTGTTTTCCCAGGAAATCACCGAGTCAGTGAATGTCTTGGTGAATGACGGATCAAGTGTAGGCGATTATACACTTGATCTCGTGACGCCCCCGAAGTCACTTTCGGAGGTGGTCAAGTTGCCAACGCTAGAATCTAAAAGATTCTTGCGAGATCTGCGTAGTGACAAGATTAAGCAGATCTGCGCACTTGTCACAGAGGCCGAGTACGTCGCCGATGTTCGGTCGTCACAAGTGTTTGGTGAGAACGAACGGGTTCGCAGTATCTCATCGATGGTCGAGAGTGTCTCCGATGAGAAGACTCGGATTCGGTCGTCCGTTAGTCGCAATTCAACTGTATCGCCAGAATTGGTCGTTCCTATGCTGTCAAGTAATATTAAATTCGGAGCTCTATGACTATTGTGACAACAGAAATTTCGACCTCGCCGTTGGACTGCGTAGCCGACTCGAAACTGGATTGGCACGACTACGCGTCCGTGAAGATATCAAGTCGTCTGGTTTGTACTCCACGGAAGGGTTGTATTCCGAAAGTAGGAGATCCACCTCATCATCTTTTGCGAGGGTTGATACTGTCGTGCGTAGTGATAAATGATCCTTAAAGGCTACGAGCGGCCTATACTCAAGGAGATAGACGCGAATTTTTACTAGTGCATACTTTGTGGCATATCTTTACCTGTTTGAACTGGGTAATTTCGCTCAGCTGCTTGTAACTGAAGCCATTGATAACAGAGGACGTTCTTTAGGCCGTCTGCATCGTAATGCATAAACGTGCAGCCGATCGCAAAATCTCTGGCGTCACAGACCACGTGGAATGGTCTATCCTGTTCTGTAATCGCCGACACAGGCGATTGTATCAAGCTGTTCTTGATTCCTTTGAAGGAGTTCTGACACTCAGCAATCCATGACCAACTCTCGCTTTTCTTTACTAGACAAGAGAGATTTAAGATTGTCGTGGCGTAGTTGCGCGAGTACTCGTGCAAGTACCCCGCTAGGCCAAGGAGCTCAATTTTTTTTAAAGATGCACCCAAGAAGCGGTATTTGCTAGCGTCGAGTGTATCCTTCTTCAGATTAGTCTAGAATTATACTTTCGCAAACGTTAAGGACCTGAAAAATGTGTGATCTCTACGTCCGTCTTTCTTCCCATAGCACGTATCGACGAACACATCGTTAAAGTAGCCCGGTGCAAAACTTGCATCGGTCTTAACAGGATCGAACCACATTTGTTAAAGGTTGCAGAGGCGTTACTCAGCCCGAGAGGATATACTGGACACTCCCACAGCTCCCCGCTGGTGGTGTTCACTGTCGTGTACGGGGTGTCCCGCTCATGCATGGGAATCTGATAAAAACCATCCATCAGACCCATGGACAGAACATGGTACTATTTTATATACTACCTATAATCAAGTCCTTATTCGGCAGCGGGGCATGCTCCAGTACTATTATACCATACATCTTGTTGAACGCGTGCTTTACACGCCGTTACGTTATGGCCTTGCGCATACAGAATTTAGAAAGTTGGGAGGGAATCAGAATTCCTTACAAGGCTCGCAAATAAGCGATTAGTAAAAAAAGTGTCGATAGCAAGTACTCGTTCACGAGACAGATATTCCGATTCATGACGCAGTGCTTCAGCCCGATTTCAGATCGATTTATTGTTGCTTGCATAATTTTTAGGCAAAACGCATGGCACGAATTGACTAAACACGTTCTTGATGTTCGTGTAATCCTTGCATATTGTTTTTTGAGGCGACTGTGACTACAGATACGTAATTCGCTCGTCTCGAGTCTTCTCATCAAGGAAGATTTTATCCATCGACGATCTGCTGAGAGTCTGTATGTTCTCGGCAAATACATTTACGAGCTATGTTGGTCACGTACTCGTCCTTGTGACTAGTACGCAGATATGCTTGACCTTGCCACTATGCAGATCTCGCAAGAATCGTTCAGATTCTAGCGTTAGCAATAGTATGATCTGCGAAGTCAACTTTGTCGGCGCGATCAGATCAAGTGTATGAGTGCCTTCACTCGATCGATCATTATCCTAAAACCTTAATGTCTCAGTTTCTTCCCGGGAATCTTCAATCAGGATGCTGGGGACTTGTTCACTAAGGTTTATGAGTTCTTATTCCATCAGGTTAATCAAGTTATACAACCTCATCAAAAATTCTTGAGGGATTTCTGCGTCAAGTACGTATAGACTGATTCCTCCAACGTTTTCTAGCTATGGTTGCGCCATCACAGCTAGGTTTTTCTTGCAATCGAATCTCCAGCCGATCCAGGATATTCGTGTTGCTCAGAGTGAAAAACTAGTTTATTCTTCCTTGGATGTCGCCCGCTAGGCGGATGCCCATATTTCTATCTTCTGAACTTCTTCGAATGGTGGAATTTCGGCGCTGCTTGTACATCCGCACAGCAGCCGGTAGCTCCCTCTACAGTGTGGTCGGTTGTTCCACTGCGATCAATTGCAGTCCTACTAACGAACGTACCACAAGTAAGGCCATCACACCCACTTGCAGTACATCCACACGCTTGTGGACGCTCCAAGA